TGTCTGGTGCAGCGGTGGTATGGGTTAATCCAATGGGTAGTAAATATCATGCCATAGCGGTGTCCAATCTTTATATTCTTGCATGGTATATCCATACACGAGACCAAATGTTGTGCCATGATGTTTTGGTTGTATCGGTTCCGTGATTCCTTGAAGCTTTGGACCAAGAACCTTGCCTGGTGCATACCCCAACCACATCAGTATACTTTCTATCTTGTTGCTCCACCAACATCCCTCGATTGCGTTTACCCACTCAATACTGTGGTATATTTGTCCTCCTAATTTCCTCTTATTTTCGATAGCTGGCACAGTCTAGTTTGTGCAGATAGGGTTACTTCTATCTCCGTGAATTATCACCTCTTGATGATTCCACTCAAACATCACAGCCTGGTGCAGAGTAGAAGCGATTGCCCAGCTGCGTGCATCCATGGTCATCCCAGTAACAAGTTGTAGGGCCCATCTGCAGGTTAAGGTTGATTTCTCCAATAGTGGCTCTCTGAGACCCATTAAATTCCTTCATGTTCATACTTCCCATCCTATCTCATGTAGGCTTATACCTAGTCTTTTCAAAGTAGTCAGCGACCATATGTTCAAACTCAAACCCCCGTCTATCAGAACCCCGGCAATGAACTTGTGTTCATATTACACATTGATGTGCAATGCTTTGTTGTGACTCAACCCTTCTGGCGGTAGCTCATCTTAATGGAAAGTAATCTTGTGACTCTCTAGTATTTGCCCCACCATATTCATCATTTCCCACTAGTGGTACCGGTAGGCACATAAGCTTCACTTAACACCTTCATCGAGGCATTGTCCCCCTCTCGAATATGTTCAATGGATCCCTCCTGATCCCATTCTTCATCAGACATTCACTCCTTCACCCCTATGATCAGGAAAAGGATTATTGCGGACATTCGGTGTGAACTCATTTGCTTGTATAACTTTAATGTCAATCAGTGTCTGAATCTTGTCTTTCAACATGCAGCATTCCTCGATAAAATAACCCTTCATGCCTAAATACTAGGCACAAGACTTGTTGGGGTTAACCCACTAGGAAGGGTTTTCAACAGCAATAGCAGGATTGGGAGTGACATAACCAGCGGCCTTCAGTCTCTCATATAGTTGATCTATGGGTTCAGCGATAGGGGTGTATTGTCTGGGAGCTCCACGGTCAAAGTTTGGTCGTGGCTTTGGGTAGTTTTGGCGGGCGGTATAAGGCTAATGGTAATATACATGTTGGGTGTTGTAGGTATGGTAGGTGGTGACATTGTATCAGTATTTTGGAGGTAAGGGTTGATATGTGGGTGGAGGTGTTTGATAAGTAAGGGAAGACTTAGGGCACTGGGCTACCATCACGACACCTACTTCTTTATTCTTCGAAATACCTCATGACTGTAAGGCTTTGTCGGTGTCTTGCAGCGCCTCAACATTGGTCATCATACCGCTCTTGATCCCTTCTTCTATCCTTTCCCCGAACATGATGATATCAGAAAACTTGTGATTCTCTATAACCATCAATCTTTTGTAATATTGTGGATCTTGAGCTCTGAAAAAGAACTTGTTCATTTGTTCTTCTTCTAGTGGCGGCCTCACCTTGGCGGCCTCTGATCTCTAGCAAGTAGCATACTCCTAGAAGGTTTCTGTTGGCTTCTTCTTGAGGTTCTGGATATAGAAAATGTCTGGCGCATTCTCTTTGTTGAACCTGAATCTATCCATGAAATCGGATGCCATGCTTACCTAGTTCACCCATTTCTTCGGATTCTGGCTAATATACCAATATAAGTGATGTGCCGTAGAATTTTGGCACATTTGATACCAATTATATAGACTTTAGCTCATCTTTCAATGCATTTTTAGTTAATTCTTATGAAGTTTTGGTGTTTTGCAGTGCATGAGGCTTGAGGATCCAAAAATATGGAAAAGAAGTCAAAAAGCCACAAAAGGGCAGAAATGATGCAGGTATGCGGTCGCATAAAGCATATGCAGACCGCATAACCATCGCAGACTAAAGTAGATTGTTGGTTAACTGAAGAGGAGAAAATGCGACCCATTATGCGGTCGCATAACGATTATGCGGACCGCATAGTGATCGCATAACTGAAATCAAGAAAGCTGAGAAGCACTTATGCGGAGGAATATGCGGTTGCATAATGTATATACGGACCGAATAATTGAAATACAGTCAAGAGCTGGGTTTGGAGACATGAGATTATGCGATGATTTTGAATAATATGCGGACTGCATACGTGATCTGCGACCAGTATGCGGTCGCATAAATGCTCTGCAGGGTTATTTTTATCCAATTTTGGCTCCGACTTTTAGCCCACTATAAATAGATTTATTAGGGTTTTTGTGGGGCAACTAAGTCAGAAAAAGAGATTACTTTTGGAGCATTANGGGTTTGGTAGAATTGAATATCAAAAACTCAAGGCTTTAACCCTTGTTTAATGAAATCGCCTAGGAATAAGTGGGTTCCATTTGGCATAAATTGGTTATTTTCAATCGCAACTTTTTTACATTTGGGAAAATCTTAAAGAGTAGATATTACCCAACTATTGAAAAATATTGGGTAGTCACTTAGAAACCATTTGTATATCAAAGAACCTTCTATTAAAAATATATTATATTAACACCGATAGAATTATATTCCACCAATGGGGACACAACCTTGGTTTTCTTAATCAAATTAATTACAACCCCACAATATTATACTTGTCTTCATTTCACTCAATTACAACATTCTTTTTTTTAGCTAACGGAATAGGATTACAAATTAAGTCAAGTTTCACACCATTCAAGTAACCTTTTCACACCTATTCCCTGTGGGATTCGACCCCAACCTAGTTGGGTTATTATATTTGACATCGACCTCTTTACACTATTTATTAAGGTGTAATTTGAGCGTATCAAATTTTGGCGCCGTTGCCGAGGAATACGGTCTTGAAATTACTATTTGGTGTGTGTTTTACTTAACATTTTTATTCCATCACACTTTGCTTGCTTTGCTTGGTGTGCTAGATAAACATGGCAGAGTATGGCGAAGAAGAGAATCCTTTTGCGGATATAGATGAGTACATCGAGGACACAAATGCCATTGTCCCTCCGCGAGTTGAGGCTACTACCTTCAAAGTGGAACATGGTTTGATCCTAATGCTTAAAGCAGAGGGGTTTTTTAGGAATTCTACCGATGATGATCTAACACAACATCTTAGAAACCTCTTGGGTGTGTGTGCGATGCACAAACAGAACAATGTGTCAGATGATGCCCTAAGACTGAGGGTATTCAAGTACTCACTAGTTAGAGAGGCAAGGAAATGGATCCAAAATCTACCACCTCACTCCATTCACTCTTGGCCTGAACTAGTTCGTGCTTTACTAGCCAAATGGTTCCCACAAAGTAAGAAATCCGAGCTCAGGGATAAAATTTTCTTCTTCAAGCAACTACCGGGAGAACACCTACATGAGGTGTGGGATCGGTTCAAGCTATACCTAGTGAGGTCGCCTAATCATGGTTTTTCGGACAAAATCTTGTTAGAAAAGTTTTACATGGGTTTGGATCCGTTGAACCAATCCATAGAAAAGAATGCGGCGGATGGATCTTTTATGGACAAAACATTCACAAGGATCACACAAATTCTCGACAACATGGCAGAACACAATCAAGCTTGGCACTTGGAAGATACCAC